TAATACCGCTTTTCAAGCCTCGAGGGAGGTGGCAAAGGGGATGACTTGTACTCTTCAAAAGCGATAATCCCAGCAAATTCAGCCTGTTCTTCAGGGGCGGCAGTCACCAGCCTCAAAATCTCCTCCCTTTTAGCCGTCGCATTCTTCCACTTCTGGCGGACTACCAGACAAAAAGTCAGCAAAATCCCAACAATTATAAGCATCTGTTTAACCTATTCCGAGTCACTTAACCAGCACCAAGGATGAAGACCGAGCTGAACAGAAACCCTAATAACCAGATTTTCTTTCTCCACATAGAAATCGGCTTTTCTGCTAAATTCGCATATAGTTGAGGCCTCGTCGTCGGCGATAGCGGTGGCGGATGTGGAGGAGAAGAAATCGTAAAATGGAAAATGGAATTGGAATTTGACGTCTTGACGGAATTATGAGAGAATTCTCCAGCTTTGGGATTGTGAGAGACATGAGAGAAATGTCAAAAGAGAATTTGAGATTGCGATATGGGTAAAGTTACCTAAAAAGAGAGCGAATTTAAGGGACTGTTTGGTTGCTTTGCTTTGTCTTATTTTTCCTTTTCCGATTCCCCTTTCTTTTTCTTTTTTCTTTTTTTTTTTGTATTTTCTGCTAATATTAATTAAATGCAATTAAATCAAAATAGTAATCTAATTAATAGTATATTTTTCATTCACATTCAGTGCCGTTTGAGCCCCCTTTTATTTAAGAATGCATTTTAAAATAGTAATTTAATGGAGAATGCGTGGTTAAAAAATAAGAAATTTTTTTGAATTGCATGTAATATTATTTTATTTAAAAATGCGTTATTGAAAAAAATGAAGAAAAAAATATTTTGAAAATAATTAAAATCTCAATTTAGTTAAGTAACTTTTTTAGCACGTAATTACTAAAATTGATGTTAAAAATTATATAAACTTAAGAACTTTATAGAAATAAAAAGTAAAAATATGATGTCATAATTAGTTGAGTATTCGATTTCTGAGACTTACCTAAAATGTTTCAAATTGATTTGTGGGTGTGTTATGCTGATGTAACGAGAAAAGGGTTACTTGTATCAAAATATTTAGCTGGTGTTGAAAAAATACATTTTAGAATACTAGATTGGTAAAAAAATATGTGATTAAAAAATAATGAATTTTTTTTTATTTACGTGTCATATTATTTTAATAAAGAATTTGTAATTTAAAAAAAAAGCAGAAAAAAATGCTTTTAAAAAAATAAGAATCAAAGAAAACCTTACTAATCAAAGAATGAGATGTGGCATGAGATTATACTTTTTATATTATTCATTTTTAATGTACTTGCAAAGTACAAATTTCACAAAATTTTGCTTATAAAGTATATAGAGAAATGATGAGCTAGTACTCGAGCATCTCCAAAAAGAGCATCTTATGTATCATAACATTTTAAAATTTAAATTTTTTATGCACTTCAATGGTGCTCTATATTTTGACTCTTCATTTTATCATTCTCTATAATTTATTGATTCTCCTCATATTTCATAGAGTATATTAGAGATATTCTTATGAATTAAAATATAAAATTGACTCTTCACCTCATAAGATTAATGTTATTTAACGCTACTGGTTGCATGCATCAATTTAGGTGACAATTGAATGTCAGCAAATGATAAATTCATTTAAATGTAATATTACATGATTCATTTAATTGAAATCATCTAAACTCGTGTAAATTTCATTATTCTTACTTAAAGAGTTTTCTCTTAGCATCAGAATAAAAGGATGCTGCTTAGCTTATGCTAATCATTGATGACATAACACATCAATAATTGGTGAATAATTTTATCGTCAATTTTAGAAATTAAGGTAGTGTTTGGTTTGCGTTTCAATTTTATGTTTTCAATTTTGAATTCACTTTTTATTTTCTATCTTGAGAGATTATTTTAAAATTGCAAGAAAATATATTTGATTTGTCATTCTGAAAAACTGTTTTTCAAAGCAAAAAACAAAAATATGCTTTGATTTAAAAATTTTAGAAATAAGCATATGACTTTTTTTTTTCAACTAATTTGATTATTTAGTAAAACATATCAATTTTATGATAATATGTAATCATAAAATATAAATTTTAAAGTCGATAAAAAAGATTCATTGTAAGTATATCTCCAACAATCGCGTTGAAATCATCCGTACATAATAATGGACTAGAGAGATGAATTCTTCACCGGGGTTCTTGGGATATATATGTATATATTTGGATAGATTTTGTGTTATTTTATTAATTATTTTAATTTAAGGAATTTTAAGTTCGTTTTCCTTATTTTGAGTTTTTTAGTGTTTTCAAAAACAATGAAAACACCCTCAAAACGTTAAAAAGTCATTTCGAGTTTTATGTTGTAAAATTTTCCTTATTTTCAAAAACGCATTTTTTAAAATAAAATACCAAACACATTTTAAAGTATTTTAGAAAACTGAAAATAACATCAAAACGATAAATTAAGCACACTCTGAATTACTCAACTCGTGAACACGTTACTGGTGCTTAATAATTATTTCTTTAAAGTAATAATTTATAGTTGTAACACTAGCCTCCGTTTGACCCCCCATTTTGTAGAAAAATTAATGTGTAGAATAGTATTTTTTTTTTTTTGAAAAATGAGTAGTTGAAAAAGAAGAATTTTTTTTTTATTTATGTGTAATATTATTTCATAGAAGATTATGTGGTTGAAAATAGAAGAGAAAAAATTTAAATGTAATGGAATGAAAATTAATGGAGTCAAATGGGGATAGATCTACAATCATAACGTTAGAGAAATTATATACAAAGAACTGATATTTTATATACTAGACCTATCAAAAACTCATTCATCAATTAATTGATATTTCATATCATCGATACTTAGCATAAGTTAAGCATCAATGCTTAGTAGATCTTTTCTTTTGAAGTAATAATAATATAAATTTATTTTGTAATTCTCTTGTTTAATCATGTTAAATCTTATCTCGTAAAAAAAAAATTTTTTACAAATAAATCGTAAAAGTTGTTTCTTACGTACTTCACCGTGTATTAATAATGTGCGATAAATAGGTTACTAATAATTTACATTAACATATATTTTTAAAAATAAAATAAAAAAAATCAACCTTATTGCTATATACCCTGGACAGTGGCTAGTTATGTACGATCCATTCGAGTCATACTTTGTTTGTAGCAAGTCAATAGAGATGTCGAAATGGTCAACCTAAACTCGCTTTAGTGAATGAAGAAAAACACAAAAATCGAAGAAAAAAAAATAATAACAAAAACAAAAACTACAGCACACTTGATCCCCTAAATGCTTTTCAATATGTACGGTTGACTCTTTTTTCACTTCAAGTATCATTTCCACTATTTATAACTGCTCGAATTTCTAGTCTTTATTCAAATCAGCTTTCTTTGACTTAAAAGAATGTAGAGAAACATTTCCAATGTACCTCATCGAACCATTTCGTTAAAGTAAATGATGTTACACAATCATAGACTTCATCATCATCAATGTTTATGTATGGGTTACTAAGAACTGAAATGGACCCAATACTTGTCAATATAATCCTGATGAGTCGATGAACTATTTAGCTCATGTTAGATTTTGATGAAAATCAGATTTTTAGTAAATTTTGATAAAAATTAAATGATTTTGATTTGGAAGGGATTAAAAATCAATATTTTGGTCAAAATCAATGCCAACAATTTCTTGGAATTCACAACTTTTCCGTTATACATTCATCAATTTTTATCGAAATCTAATAAAAATATGATTTTAATCCCTATCAAACAATGGCTAAATATATAATTGAAAAGCTCGGAGTCCCATGAAACGTATGGTTAAAATTAATTATTGATTAAAACTTAAATTTTTATCCACTACTTTAACTAATCCGAACAGAACTTAAGTAACATCTTGCAAAGATTTATTAAAAAAAATGTATTACCATTCGAAAACCTAATATTCAATCTACAGAAATGATACTTGTATAGATAAATTGCACAGACGGTTTTACAGGTGCCTAGGGACTAATAGGACAAGAATTCTTAAAAATTGTTAGAAATAAACGGGGTCGAGTTTTAATTTTTTTTTTTTTTTTTTTTTTTTTTGAGTTTTAAATTTTTTATAGTTTTTTTTCTTTTTTTCTTTTTTTTGGAAAACCGATTTGCGTGTTTGGCATACTACCATTGTAGTTTTAGTGCAGGGAATTTTAGACAAGCAAGCTAAAAAACTATTCCATTCTCAATACGACGTTCAAGTTTTTTTATTTATCAAATACATTTTTTCTCATTATTATTTAACTCCTGTTTGGTGGCCTTTAATTTAAAAAAAAAAATAAAAAATAAAAAAAAAAAAATATATATATATATATATATTTAGAGAATGTATGATTAAAAAGTATAAAAAAAAAAATTGGATTTACGTATAAAATATTTTATTAAATGAATGTGGTTGAAAATGAGTATGAGAAATAAATAAGTTAGAAGGAATGGAAATTGAATTCTATTGACTAATGTATAAATAAAAATTTCAGAAAAGTCCCCCATAATGGTCGCTTTGGCCGAGTGGTTAAGGCGTGTGCCTGCTAAGTACATGGGGTTTCCCCGCGAGAGTTCGAATCTCTCAGGCGACGTTATTGAATTTTTCTTTTTCCTCCTATTTTTTTCTCTCAATATTCTGAATCCTGAAACATAAAAAAATAAAAACATGGACTTTGGCATCATTTTCCATATTATTTAAAATTAAAATCTTATCTCATTTATAGCTGACTCGTGCCAAAATTTTATTACCTTATAGACATACTGCTAAATTTGTGTGCGTATTATAATAAATAAAATTTTAAATTTCAAAAACATTTTTAGAATTGTACAATCTCAACATTATTTTGCTAGGAAATCAGGCCTAAAGGAGTATCAATTTTTTTGAGTTTCAATTAAAAATTCTCGATTATTAACACATTTATTTGAATTAAAACAAGAAATATATAGAATTCGCTGGAGGTAATCTAAACGTCCTAGAGATCGCCAATCCTAATCATTATTGAATTATTTAACTTTGATTTCCAAATGTAAACAAGAAAGGTACAGTGCCATTACAAAACTTATCCAAGAAACAAGAAGGCCCCTTCTTTTTGTACACGAAATAGGCTCAACATTACATGCTGAATTTAAAAGCTCGGGACGCAAACATTATCGTTACCCAGTTAGTTATCCCACGAACCAAGTATCTTCTGCTTAATCTCTTCAACTTTGGAAACCAACTCGTCCCTATTTTTCTGGAAAACGGTATCACTGAATTGAGAGGCATGTAGTAAAAGTAAGACAGATATGGTGATATGTGAAAATTCTCAAGTACTTGCCTTGAAGATAAGATAGCGGGAGGTGAACCAGATGGTGTAGGCAAGACCAACAAGTTCCAGCACTTTAGGAAACTAAAAATCGATATCTTAAGGTTACTCAAAAGCTTGCAATCATGAGAAATCAAATCCAAGAGAAGAAACAGTAAAAGTACTCACCACTGGAATAGAATCAATTGCATGAACGATAGAGGCTGCTATCCAATATAAAACTACACCACCACTGCCAAACACAAGAAAATAATATGCTTCTTCATAATCAATCAGTAATTGATGAAAAGGATATGTAAAACTTCAAGACGGCTGACCAATTATAATCTGCAATCAAGTGGCCAACTAGAAAACCAAAAGATCATTGTTTTGTTTTGGATTAAAATTTTGGACAGTATTGCAAAATATTAGATTTCTCATCTCAGTAAAACTAAGATGACTAAATGGATAAGCTCTATGAGCAACACAATCTCTATTACTAAAAGGATAAAATCTATTTTAATCCTCATTCATGGATAACACTCTATCCAAACAAGACTCTAACATGGCATCATTGATAACTGGATAATTTTATTGTCATATATTGACTTAAGCATCAGAGTATCCCCGGAGAAATCCTGCACCCCCTTTTTTGCAGGTTGTAAAATAAAACTACGGCTCGACCATTTCAACTAAGGAATGGATATGATAATCATTTTTATATGATTTACCTTCTATCAAAAACAATAGTGTGTGGTCTAGTACTTTGGATATGCATTAAGACAGTTAATATCACACGCAGCAAGTGCTTTCAAAATCAGTATTTTATGACTTCCCATAGCTAATTATAAATGCAATTTTCATAAACAAACTCATTGTATGACTAAAAAAAAAAAAGGAAAGAAAATTATAACACTTAAGAATGAATGTCCATTTATAAAATATATATATCGTGTATATTGTTGGCAACTCCCAAGGAATCCCTAGAAAATAGGATATTCGACAGTTATGTATCTTAATTTTTTCCTATTGATTCCGTAATTTTCTAATTTTGTACATTAATTCTAGACAATTAAGTCTACATTAAACAATACAAAAAATGTGGGTGGGGGGGGGAAGATAATATCTAAATACAGATAATAGTTATACCCAAAGTAATAGACAGGGAAACCACAAAGATAACACAAAGAGTATCAACAAAAGAAAAATGTTATAGAGTGAGAAAGTGGTGTCACAATGCAATAAGAATTAAATTCATGTATGGATAACTAGGTTTTATTCAATTGTAATTTTTTCCTCCACCATAATTTGCAAATGCCAAGAACTGGAGTTCTACTAATATAATTAACAAGTAGCGGAATAGTTGAAGACGTTCAAATATGCACAACAAACAGCAGTGGTTTAATAAGCCTATTTGGCAATGTCTCTATCATTTTTTTTCCTTTGTGCGTTACATGGAATACAAAAAGAATATCTAGAATAACCAACCAGTAATTATGCTATATGTCTTGAGCAGCCAATATGTAGAAATTTTTTTAAGAAATCAATTTATTAGAACATTACAGACTCGTAATATTTTGTAATTACTTCAAGAACTTATTAAAAGAATCCCGCCGTCACAAAAGGGAAAGCTATCTTATAAAGCTATATTAGAATGATTGAAGTACTTTCTAAACTGCAAATAAAAACAAAGTCTACAAACAAACCTCTATATCGAGTTTCTCAAAAAACTGAAACAGTTGCATTGGATTATACATCCAAGAATCTTCTTGCGGGACTTCATGCGACTGAAAATCAGTTTCATCTTTATCGTTTGGGGTTGTCTCACTCGAAGTTTCTTCGGACGTGGTTGACCTTACAGATGAATTTTTATAGTATCTCACCCCTGATAAGAAAACCCAAACTGAAGATAGTGAACTTCCCACTTTCCATCGATTTTCTGTGTTCTTTCTTTTCTATTTTTCCTCGTATCATTTTCTAGCATGAATTATCTTTTCCTGTCAAGATTTCAAATTGGATAGCCAATAATCCCAAAAACTTAAGAAAGGCTACCTGAAATCATTGGAAGGCATAACATACTACAACAAAATCCAGTTTTTTCTTTCTTTTATTAAAGAAAACAGCTAGATAACCAGCTAAACAGAAAATAAAAAGAATATAATCACAGCCATCCAAATTGGAAAGCAAAATCTAGCTTCACAAATTTAAACATAAGAGGGCCACAATTTAACAAAAATTTGAACATTTTCTATTAATCGTGCAACTACTATAATAAAATGTTGGGGGCCAAGTTGCTACAAGGGCAATAAGTTCGGGAAGGACAAAGTAATTTTCACGAAAACATACAAAGCGCACATTGACAATGAAATACTACAATCTATTACGGAAAATGACAAAGAAAAAGTAAACAGATCAAAAACCAGAAGCGCTCCTAAAAGAAAGAAAAAAATACCTGGATTGGAGAGACAAATCGAGATTTGATTGAAAGAAAGAGGGTAAAGAGTTTTCAATTGGAGAGTGGACTGAGTATGCTTGGGAGTGAAGAGTCTGGGGTTTGAGACGTGATGATTGGATATGGTTTTCGCTGTGCAAAGATCCATTTTTTCAAGAAGTATTCTACAGGAATTCAAGGGTTGGGGTTTCTGCAAGAATGTAGTTAGAGAAATTGGTTATTAGGAATCGGGCCGGCCTGTGAAGTTAGGGTTTTAATGGTGCTTCTGTTTCAATTGAATTAGGTTTATAGGAGTTTGAATTTGATTTTACATCTACATTTATGGAGAGAGTTACGTGGACATGCTATTGTAGCGCTATTCCATAGTCAGCAGGGAGCTCACTTTCACTTGTTCATTTTATATTTTGAAAAGTTAGATCCCGTTTGTTTCCACTCTTTGGCCACAAAATGAAAAATATGATCGTTATCCATCACATCAAATCAACATATTTGATATTTTCTTTTTTATATGTGTCCTGTAACGACTATATTTTTTATTCTCATTCTTATAAGAATCGAAATCAAACGGGGGCTTAGAAATTACTTTTTAATTTCTTTGAATAACTTTTCAAAAGTATTGTATCTTAATAAAAAAGTTTTTAGTGGAATGTGATAAACTAAGTACTTTTAAATAGCATTATTTAAAATTAATTTTTAAAAATAATGACAATGACAATGATAAATATATCGATCAAATATAATTTTGTGTTTTTGGATGAAAGAAACTAGTTAATGGGAATAATATTTAAACCTAGTTTGGCCCCAATTTTTTCAAATTAAAATGGGTGGAATAGTATTTTTAAGAGGATTGGTGGTTAAAAAACGAAAGAAAAATTTCAATTTACGTATAATATTATTTTATGAAAAATTGTGTGATTGAAAATTAAAGAGAGAAAAATAAAATTTAATATTTGTCTAACCCTGTATTTTTTTTTCAAAAAAAAAATAGATATTTTGTTAACATGAAGAAAGATGCGATAAGGGCCTTGTCAATATTATGCTTGTAGTGCTTGAGGAAGACTAAAGCCAATTCGCTCGGTTTCATCCTTCCATATGTCCTGAAGAGTGTCCTCCAACTAAGAAAGCATTCATTCTTCAACTCATATTTTCAATTCTCATAAAACTCGTAAAAGTTGGGGAAAAAATTGATTTTACCTGTAAAATAACTTTTAGACTACTGATTTTTAATTCAGAAATTTGATTGTGAATTGATTCCTAACACATAAAAGATTGAGAGTTTTAAAGTCATTATGCCTTCAACTTTGTTCTTTTTCAGTTGACATTCAACTTTAAAATTTCTAAATAATAACCACACTTAAAGAGGTGTTATGTAATAGTGGTTGGACTTTATTTTCAAATGAGTGGTTGATGTACTTTAAAAGTTATTTTTTAACTGTAACTTTTTAAGTTTTATATTGTTTTCCATTCATCATTACAAATTATTTAATAAACCAACGATATCCTTTATTATGTTATAGAAATCGTTAATTTTGGCTAGAAAAATTACTCTCTGGAGTAGGTTTGGGCACGAGTCGGTTTGCTTCGATTTTAAAGAGAATCGAATTGATCCAAAAATTTCGGGCATTTAATAAATATAACCGTCGGGTCCAAATATAATTATGGGACCGTTCGAGTTATGTTCGGATCGATTCGATTCTATACTATAATTAAATTTTTTAACATTTATAATAACACTACATAAATACAACTAGTAACACATTCAATCGTAATTTTATAAATTCATCCAATTTAACATGTATATAACAAGTTTTCCAACAAAATTAATTTATCAATCACATATAGGGAAGCTTACACACTACTTTATTCAAATGATCAACGGTCGAAGGTCGTCATCGGAGTCCGGAGGTCATAGCTTCGGACTCGGAGTTGGAGGTTCTATGCATCTATTTGAGTTTTGAAATGTCAAATGTGTTGTCTGTAGGTGATAATGTGTGTAATTTATTTAGGGTTAGTCGTTAGTGGGTTGGATCACTTGGATGTTGGGCTAAAAAAGGGAAGAACACTTGGGCTAAAAATTAAAAAATTAGAAATGAAACAAATAATAGGGCCAAAAAATTGGATTTAGAAATTGGTTGGGTTAGGTCAAGCTAGCTAGGCTAGGGCTTAGGAGATAAAGTATCAATTAATCACCTAATTTGTTAATTTGTTTAGAAAAAATTAAAATAATTTGATTTATTCAATATAAAAAAATAAAAATTAGGAATATTGGTTTCTTATTCGGTTCTTCGATTTTTGGTCTAGAACCGAGAACTGAATCGTACCCGTCAGTTCTTAATTCAAATATCCGTTCAGGTATTTAACTTGAGAAAAATTGTCGGGTTCGGTTTGATTTGGTTCGAGTTCGATTCGGGAGATTTGTCCAACTCTATCTCGGAGTATTGAAATTCGGTGCTCCAATTGGCAACGTTTGTGATAATGGATTGAATTATTTTCATAAACTGAATTGCATGAGAAAAAATAAAAATAAATAAAAATTCACAACTTAATTTTCATCTCATGGTCAAGAATGTGAAGCTCCGCCGTCGCAAATAGAAAATAAATTAATCTCTCACTCTTGGAGAGAATTAAAAAGTTAAAATTTGGATGTCTTGTGTGTCATCTTCATGCATCCTATCTTTTCATAAAATATAAACATATTGTTCCTCATTGAAAGAAAAAAGAGCTTCGATGAACCGAACACGTATGAAATTTTAGTCAAATTTAATTGAAAATACGCCAACAAAAAAACTCGTATGAAATTTTAATCAAATTTGATTCAAAATGTGCCAATAAATCAAAATCATGTGAAATTTTAGTAAAATTTGATTAAAAACGCGCGAATGAACACAATTCAGATGAAATTTCAGTCAAAGCACAAATAAGTAACTTGTTTTTTGTTGAACTCCTTTAGTGTGTGACTTTTTTGTGTTCGAGGTTAATTATATAACACTCATGAGCTATTAGTATAATCCAAATAAACTTAAATATATCAATTCTCTAATTAGGTTAAGTTATATTACATAAATATTTTGCAAGTGAACGATCAATGTGCAAATATATTGGGCTATAAAGCGGATGAATAGTCTTATTCTCTACAAGAGAGCTTCACAGAAAAGAGGAAATATATATATATATATATATATATATATATATATATATATATATAACAATTATATCCCTGCAACCCTATAAATTATTATCATTGTATTTCTAATTCTTTGTATGAGACTTTTGTTTTTAATAAAATACACAATCAGCACGAGTCTATAAAAATTAAAATGAATTAGTTAGGAGGCAATAATTTTCATAAGCATGTTTCATTTGTTAGGTATATCAAAATTAAATTTTTTACATGTAAATTTTTTCGATATACATATATATCATAATAAGGTTACTTCTTCTTTTTTGCTTTTTGTTTTTATGCATATTAATTTTAATTCATGTTTGCAAGTGTAATCTGCACAAACTAATTCATGGATTATTAAGTAAATTCATGTTTTATCATTAATTTATGCCTTCTGATTTATACACAATCAATTCTATCGCATAATATTAATTCACGTATTAATTCTACCTTTTGATTCTGCCACATATTAGTTCTATCTATAATTTTACCTTGAATATATGTATATGTGGAATTCGCATGCATGTTTGGTATATTTTGCATGTTGATAAAATATTTAGCCAATAAAGTATTTAATCAATTTTATGAACTCCTATATGTGGTAATTCTTTTTCTTAATGTATGTTTGATGATTAATTTTTATATATAAATTATATCCGATCCGTTTGGTAATTAATTTTTATATCATATCATGTTTAATGCAACTAATATTTTTAACATGATTAAATATTTTTAGATGTTCATTTATATACTTTAAATTGATAATTCATTATGTTGTTGCTTCTGAAATAGCACAATATTATAATTAATATTTCAGGATATTATTATTTACTCCTATAAAGTATGAATATTAAATTTTTATATTCCAAAAAAAATTCACATGTTGCTCTTGAGAAAGCATAACTTTGTAAATATTATATCTACACTACCATAAAAGAGAGAATGAGAATTTACTGTTCATTTTTATCACACTCGTTTTCACACTTAACCGGTTTGGGAACTGGTTTGGCAACAGAAAAAATTCTATTCAAAAATACTGTAGAAATTTTGTCACACGCCATTGTTTACTGCAATATTTCTCCCTTACTTTGAATCTGACACATCGTGTTCTTTCTCCTAATTCTCACGCTATTAACTATCAATCATATCTGATATATTTAAATTTTTAAAATTATATAAATAAACAAAATTATTGTAAATAAAATGTAAAAAAAAAAAACATATTCACTCCGTGCATGGAGAAAAAAATTTACGTCATACCACATAATTTTTCTTGAGCAAAATGATGTATTGAGAAAATTGTTGCTAAAAAATAATAAATAGTAATAAAATAATTGATTTTTTTTTTAAAATGACTTATATATATTTTTTAACACATGCGTTTAATATCCGTTTAATTATTTTCGATATTTATTTAGATCATTCAATGTGTCTATAATATAGTTCTTGAAATGAGTTTCGAGAAAATGTAAAACATTTATCGATTCGACTATCGTACAATCGTCAATGAATTTATAAAATTAGCTTATTATCGAAAATTTCGAAATATAATTTGAAAATGCCTATTTTGACATCACGTAACGTTTGCTACGATTAGCCGTTTCACGCACCGTTAACGATGTGTAATACTATGCCGCAAGTACTTCGAAATGATATTAAAAATGTAATCTTTCAACTTCGTTTGATATCCCGTAATGAGCCTAAAAATAAACACAAAAATATAAGTAAAAAAAAAAACTAACATTTAGCAAACCTCCGTACACGGAGGTTTATGCACTCTTTTTTTTTTACTTTTATTTGTAATACATTTTTTTATTAATATTTAATTTAAAAAAATAAATATATCTAAATATTTATTTAAAAATGTTGAAGTTAATATTTTTTACATATAAGTAACTTTTACAATTATAATTTTTTTTATTACTTTTAAATAACTTGGAGTGATTTTTTTACTTATAAGTAATTTTTTTACATTTTAGATAGTTTAATATTTTTATTAATATTTAATTTTAAAAACTAAATATATCTAAATGTTTATACTTAAAAAATTTAAGATCACATTTTTTTTTTTTTTATATAAGTAGCATTTGCAATTATAAGAGAATGGGGAATTAATATTTTTTTTTACCTATAAGTAGCTTTTACAATTATAAGTTTCTTTTTTATTTTAAATAACTTGAAGTGATT